CTAAATGTAGTAAATTGTCGGCCTATTAGTGTAGTTTCAATTGTTGCAAATATATTCGAAAGTAATGTTAATTTCTTAGAAAAAAATCATGCAGTATTTCGATTTTCTCGAGCTTGTCGATTTAAATGGTAAGAATAAGTTCAGTTCCAAGTAACAAACAAAGATGAATATAGTATAGTTATAGTATCTCTCAAGGAACGGTCCTGGAACCACCCTATTTTTAATATATTTAAGCGACTTCCTGAATCTTGATTGCAATGAAAATATTATATCATATGCTAATAATACAATCTTATTTGTAGAAGGTAGTGATTAATCAGATTTCACTAGAAGATCAATAATGAGCTACATAAAGTAATACAATAGTTTGCTAATTATTTAATTATTCATTTAGAAAAATATATGTATGTGCGTTTTTCATGTCGTAAGAAAATTTACCGGTTGACAACAAAATTGATATCAGTCTTGAACAAAGAAGAACTACATACTCGATGCAAAGTAATACATCATTGCCTGTCAAGGGATCCAGTGCAATACGCTTTAAAGGGTTTTAGAAATTGAATAATTTCTTTATACATTATGAAGGGACGAAGGGATCAGTTCACGTCTGGCACCCTTGTTCCTACAAAAATTCCTTTATTCTTATAAACTATTTATTTTAAATGTAATTTATAATAAATCCAATTTGTTTTTTAAATTCCACATATGTACTACATTTTAGCTCTGTATGCGCCACTGTTGTTTACTTGTTTTTTGGAGGCGCTCTCTGATTTACGACCAAGCTCGCCAGGTTAGTATTTGACGTATAATCGGCCACTTCGTACACTCGATGCACCTGGGTGACTACAGCTACTACCAGAACACAGTGCGTATGCAGCGGTATTTCAGATTTAACATTGAATTTCATTTTAAATTTGAAATGGTTCATCTTACGCCTCCTAAAAATGATGACACGATTTTCCTTTGATAAAAGACCGACAACTTTTTGCTCTACTTTGCATCGAATACGATCCTACTATAAATAGATATTAAACAGATCAGAATACTCAAAGTATCTAGGTACATTACAGGTAGACTGCGATGGAACTACCACGTTGAGAAATTAGTAAAACAATTTAAAATATTATTACATATGTTCTATAAATTAAAGTATATTTTGAAAAGTCATGAGTTTAAATCGGCCTATGTTTCTCTGGTACAATCATTACTAACATATAGTATCATAGGTTGAGGTATAGTTCATACAGATGTAATGAAACCACTGGAAATAATTCAAAAAAAATTCCGAAAACAGTTTTCAATCTCCTTTACAAACATTCTACATCAGAAGTTTTTATGTAGGTATACGCAAAGATATAAGATATTAGAAATTTGTATTGTTGCACTCCCCATATTACTCCGTATGTCAAGAAAAAATATTTTGTCAACAGAATTTATATGCTTACTTTTAGAAGGCAAAGAAAACAAATTCCATGATCTAAAACAAATAGGCCCGAGTATTCTCGTACGTTGGGTTAAAGCTAAACAATTTCTTGATGCAGAAAATAAAACAGATACTTCTCCGATAGCATAAAAATAAAAAAGCTTGTTTATTGCCTAATTGAAAATATACCCACTCCTATATATTTCATTGATGTTCAAATGCAGATATGATTCTATAGTATATACTCACATAAATGAAGGGGACGGTGAATAATATATACGTGTTGTATCACATCTGTACAAATGTAAAGATGTGTTAAATTCTGTGCGTATACGTCCGTAAAATAATAATTACTAAAAAAAATTCTCGGAGAATTTTTATGTCTTCACAGATAAAACGCCTAACTGCTGATATTGCGCTAAACATCTACTCTATGGGCTACATGTCCCAACTAGCATTGAATTATACCATAACAATTTGAAGTAAACTAACTTCCGTGGATTACACAACACTTTTCACATATCCCCATAAAAAGAAGTCTAAAGGGGTGATGTCCGGGGACCGGAAGGGCCATCTAATTAGGCTGCCGCGGCCTATCCAGCGATCGGGAAAAGTAATGTTTAGAAAGTCGCGCAGGCTCCGAAAAAAGTGAGCGGGGGCTCCGTCATGCAGTAAAAACATATTTTGCTGAACATTTAATGGCACGTCTTCCAAGCGATTTTGCAAAAAATTTAGATATGTAGCACCATCTCAGCGTCTAGGCAATTCAGAAGGTCCTATTAAATTGTCATTAACGATACCGACCCACATGTAGGTACACTGGACCGCGACGTATTTCGTGTGGATTTTCGATAGTCCAGTGGTAAGTGTTGAAGAACGGTAACCTGAGGGGTTATTTCGTTAATTATCTACCTTTAATTAATTATCTCTTATGACCAGTATCATAACGAGTCTGGATTTCAAAAGAGTTTACTGTTCAATTCTCGAAAGGGAGTATATAATTATCATAATGCTTTAATTAATACGTGGGAACTTAGAAATGTTGTATGTTCAGAGAATGCATTTCAGGCACTTACCCTTTATTGCTTACGTAGAATGTAATCCAGTGGCTGGCTATACAGGGTGACACTGAAGTTGGAAGAAACAAAAAGAAACACCAAACCTTCCAGGAAGGATTTTAATAACGATAAACAGAACAAACAAACAAAATGACAACGCAACGGCTCGAACAACATTATTAATCAATTCATTGACACACTGCGTACCGAGATTCAGGGAATACGCGCTCTATAGCGAATATTTGGAAAGGACTTTAACCATTATTAAATTCAATTAACTAGTCCGAGACTCTAATCTAAAACTAGGTCGACTGCTCAATGTGAAATCTGAGGAATAACTCACTTTTTCTCCTAGATCTCTCCTGAATTCCACACTTCGCTTTGACACGCCCATTTCTTGGGTCCAGAAGTTTCGGTTCTTATCTTATTGGCGGGGACCCTGAATGTCGAGATGCTCTGGCATAACTATGCCATGTTAATAATTGTCTAATGGACTGAATTTACATTTCTATAAATAATTATGTGACTTACAAGTAACCCTAGCCTTCTTCTAGCGACTCCGTGTAGCAAATACGGGACGGATTAGTCGAACTCATTTAATCTACTCTTATAGCTTGGAAAATCCGTCAAAAAACCAGCTGCTTAATCTGTTACTTTCTTTTCCAATTACTATCTATTTCACAATTTAATTTAATTCAACTTTGGAACCTCTACGCTCTTCTCGCGGTTTCGCGCGTTATTAAAAATACGGGTTTCTACGCTGGCGCCTCCCAGACGCAACAGATCACTGTCACATGGCCCTGACTCTAAGCGAACTTGTTAAAAATATTGGTAAATTTCTCAGAAGGACGACGCTATCTACTTGAAAGCCCTCAACTTTCGATAATTTGTGTTGGCTGAAATATTTTACTTTTTGGCCCATCCGTTCTCAGAACTATTAAATAAATGATTACGGCTTTTGTTACATTCGACTGTAACATGCTTCATCTGTAATAAGTATTTGCGCTGTAAATTGACGATTTCTTGCATGTTCCTGAACCATTCGCAAATCCTATTTACTTGCTGTGCGATATTTCTGTTGCTACGATGCGGATCTTCTTCGACGAGATCTAAAATCATCTCCTCGACATTTAAGATTCTTAGTGGTCGCCCTGGGCCACCGTTGCGATCTCGCGGTTGTACTTCACCGGTGTCCAAATGTTCGTGGTGTGGGGGCACGTCATTCTGGATATCTTGCACGGTTAACTTGACAAGCTCTGTGGGCATTTTAGTTTGCTTCACCATAAATTATGAGCTAATCATAATATTCGCGATTGCTAATTAAATGCGCCATTTTCAAAAGAAAACTTGGAAATACGGCTATTAAATGTACTCTCGAAAAACAGCACAGCAATCACTACAACAATGTATTACAAACTGACTTTCGAATACAGTGTTATGGTCTGCAAGAAATCTTGATTTTGACCTCCCTGGAATTCCTCCTAAGGGGATCCTGAAAGATAAAGTAAACACAGAACGGTCTAATAATACATATGACCTAAGTTAGAAAATATTAAACGAAGTTATTACTATCAATGAGGTGGATTATAAAAAGAAACTTCCTTGGAATATACATATATCCTTTTTCTAAAAACAGAAGGAAACGTATATTTCGCTGCAATCAGAGAAAAGGTGCCAAAAAAACAAGACATACTTGTATATTTTATTTCAGTTAAAAAGAGACAAGTTTGGTTTAAATCTCCGAATGCAAAAAGTATAAAGGAGTGGCAGTGTCTATATGAATTAAATTTTTTTTTAGAAGAAGCCCGTTCAGCAAATGTAGGCTACATATTTATATTTTTGAAACCTGAAATACTTACAAATTTCAAAAATATAAAAAATACAGTACTCCATTAAAAAAACGTAAAATTTTGAATTGTTTTCTTTACTAATTTATTTTTTCATATAACTTGTATAGGAAACTTTCTTTCTAAAGTCAAAAATAAAAATGTGGGTGATCAATGTCCTCAAACGAAGATGATTAATAATAATTATATATACTTACTTACAATACAGTCCTCTCGTATTACTTATTGTTAGTTACCTTCATGCAAAACTTGAAAAAAGTCTAACCAGAGGCATTGTAATTTAGGAGAGGTTCCAAAAAAGTTATCTGATGTCGGAGAAACCTTCTACTGCAGATTTGGGTGTACTATTTAAAACCAAAACTGTTATGTATGTATTACATATTTATAATCAATCAATGTTTGGAAAAATGTTAATACTGTGGTATCTACAATTTTTTTGAACAAAAATCTATGAAACTATGAAATTTACTGTCATATTGACAGCATGTGTGCCGTTTCAACTGACAATATTAATTTAGAGGAAACTCTAAAGTAAGTCACAAAAACTTGATTGGAATAGAGATTTATTGCATGAATATGTTGTTTTAGAATAGTATGTTAAGTGAGTGAGCCTTGCTTATTTTAGAAATATGTAATGTAAACTATTATTAATATTTTTTCTTATTGTTGCAGCCATGGAGAAGATCTCATCGTTACTCCATTTGCACAAATTCTTGCCAGTTTGCGCAGCGTGCGCAACAACTTTCAATGTCTCACCAATGTGCCCACTAATAAGTAAGTATTTGTTTTACTTTCACTACTCAGGTAATTAGGTATTCTTCCATTGATATTAATTTTTACTCTCTCACCTATAAAAGTAGTTTGATAGAACTTACAATCAAGGATGTTAAGATATTATAAGTGCGTGTGATAGTTCTGAAGATGTTCTGTTCATGAATTTTATTTATAAATAAGAGAATGATAATAAATTACTAGATTTGGTTCATAAACCCGTTCCTATGAGGCTTTATTTAAAAATATACCTATGTAATGTAATTCTGTTGTCTGTCTGCTAACCGAAATTTTGTTTAATTTGTCGAATTTGAGAAAAATTTGCCAAAGAACACTATTTTTTCCATCTGTAAGCCTGGCAGATTTAATTCTAGGTTGTTTATATTGAGATCGACAGTGTCATCTAAAAAATGTTCTAATTCTAATTATTCATTTCTATTAATCAATTCGTTCATTATTCTATTAATTCTGCTAGGACACAGTCAACATATATACTTAGCATGGGTTTATCCTAATCTTCAGTCGTTGTATTTACTATATTCTTTTTCCACTCATCTCCACAAAACATACTTGGTGGTACCATAAGTAATATTAAGAGCTGCATGTGGTGTTGCGACAGCTGGTGAACTTTTTTTTACAAGTTCTTTTATCTTCAATGTTTTTGTGCCCTGGAACTCAACATAGTCTGACCGTATTGGTATTTATCAATTCATTTAGCAATTAAGCAGTCCCAGTTTTGAGTAGGTACACCTTGTTTGAGTCTAGGGCGTTTGCTTAGTCTAACTACTGCAGATCCACCATCTATTTTAGATCTATCCGTATGTTATTATTTCAGATTCAATCAGTATTTAAGAAAAAATATCAAACACGTTCATAAATAAATTAAAATGTAAAAATAATAAGTACACCTGATATTTCAAAATTTTATTTTATATCAAATGTGAACATATGAACATTATACCTATAACTAAATTGTCATTTCTTTTAAATAAGCAACATGAAATAATGTCAACAAACTTTTGTGTCATCAAAATGTAAACACACTTTTTAAATGATGAAAAACATGTATATTCGACAACAAAATTATTAAAAACATCGAAAAGCAACGTATTTACTGTAGCCCTAAAAGTTTTCAAGCGAATATTTTCCTTACCTTTGTAATTTGATTTTATTTGATATCATGTTTTTTTTAATGAAAAACATGTAAACGCATGTTAAAGTACATGCTGATAAATATTTGATATTTTATTTAAAAAATACATAATATTAAAGGAAAAAAACCAATTTGACATCGTTTGACATATAAAATTTATTATAATATTCAGGTATTTTAAATTGCCAAATCATTTTTTCTACGACATTACTAGAAGATATGAAATTAACAGAAAAATAAAATTAAAATATCGAATTGAATATCAATTGGATAGTAATATTTTACAAACTTTTAAAATACTTAGTACTAGAGATTTGAAAGTGAAAGTTTTTAGAAATTACTGTCAAGTAGGTAAGTACGACTTCTGTTCATTTTTTATTAGCCACCATATGTTGTACTGTGATTTATAATGTCTGGCCAGTAGGTGTCTTCATTTCAAAAAGAAGAAAGTAAATACTTCTAACAGTGAAAGTACCGCATATTCGTATATTTACATATATTAAAATGCAATGCTCTTTCTTAAGAGTGTCTTATTATTATACTAGTAATTAAAGCGACCTAGAAATACATAATTTGTGCAAACCAGGGCTCTTTGTTTTCAGAAATATAAATAATTTTTCAATCAGACCGATATTTTTCGAGATACGGCAGTTTTAAATATCCAAAAATAACAAAAATTTTCAATTTTTAATTATTTGATAAACAATTATGACAAGTGAATTGTTCAAAATGTCCACCACCTGCTGTTAAACATGCTTCAGCACATTGTGCTACAGCTCGAATGGAGTTGCGTACCTACCTACTATCTCTGACGTTATTTGTTGTGTTGTTTGAAACAGACAGCTCTTTAACAATTAATGACAATTCAGAAAGAATTTGTCAATACTTTGGCATCGTTAGAGTACAGTAAAAGTACCTGTCAATACAAACTGCAAAATAATAGGCCATAATTATTCAAATCGTGAATAATATGATATGCTGACGGCTCTCGGAGCTTCAAATAATCGTGCAGGTGAAGCAGTGCGGTTGGCTTGGCAGAGGCGGTCCATTTGCTTGGCCATCTCGTTGTCCAGACCTAAAGTCATGTGATTTTTTATTTTGGGGCTTCTTAAAAACGTTGGTGTATAGAACACCAGTGGCAAATTTGAATGAATTATAGAACCGCCTATTTCAATCAATACAGCAAATAACACCAGAGGTGATACGCAACTCCATTAGAGCAGTATGTATGTATGTGCTGAAGTATGTTTAACAGCAGACGGTGGAAATTTTGAACAATTGTTGTAACTCGTTTGTCGTAATTGTTTATTTAATGATTGAAAATTTAAATTTTAATATTTTTGGATATTTGACTGCCGTATCTCGAAAAATATTAGTCTGATTGAAAAATCATAAAGACACTTTTTTACCACCTTATCTAGCTTAATAATATCCCACAGTCCGTGTCCGCGAATTTTGTAACACCCTGTTCGTAAACAGTTTCTACATTATTTTGTACAACTTAGGTACATAAGAGAAATCTACTTTAATCAAAAAATGGAATTCAGCAAATACCCAACCTGACGTTCTGTTGATTCAGAGACTCGACAGATAGTAAATGATAGGTAATAAGATGAAATAGCTTGGAAATCAGTTTCTAGTTGATTTATCCTTCTTGTTATACATTCCTCGTGATTCTGTCAGTTGCAATTACTGCCATGTGGTTTTACAGAAAAGGAATGTATTACGTTTTACCATTTTCCAATCAATTGTACTATTTGATTGATTTATTGGCAGTCGCTTTATTTTGCTAACTCTGCAAAGACATCACAAAAACAATTAATTAGAAAAAATTGTTCGGCATATATTCCCGATTTTTCTGAAAAATTAATAAAAAACAATGTTTCTATTATGACGCTTGTATATCTACATTTGTCTAATGATAACGAATACATTTTGATGATTTGTCAGTATATCTTGGCATATTTGCAGTTTATATATTACATGTTCTGTTTTCCAAAACGGGAAAATAGTTAAATTTGCAAAATATTCTAATCCACGAACTATCACGCAATTCAGTAAAAGAACGAAAGTCAGTGCTAATCTAAAAACAATTATTGTCTTTTGACTAGAATTGTTATTTGAATAGGCAGTGCTGACGATGGGGAATATTATTTTAAATACGAGAGGCAGTAGTTTTCTGTCTAGCAATGAAGATCTTTTTTGATAAATTTATTTTTGAACATAATTTTCCTTAATGCAATTGCGTCATCTACCTTTCAATGAATCTATTCTATTAAAAAATTATTTCCGTTGGCCTTTAACTTAGGCTTAAATTGGTTGCTTTGAAAATCCACATTTGTAGTCAAGAGGTACGATATTTTTGTGACCCAAACCAAGACGTTTTTGGTTAATAATCATACGTAAATTTATTAACGTACTGTCGCATGTCGTTGATAACTGCTGTTATTGTAGTATCCTTACGTTCAACAACAACATAATAAATTCTGCTTGGTTTCTAAAGATGGTGGTGATGGCTATGAGCTTCTCAGCTGAAGATTGATTTTTTCTCTCTTTTTTGTTTTTTTTTTCTTTTTTTGTTTTTTTTTTTTGTTGAAAGATGAGAATTCTTATTAACATATTGTATAAACCAGTTTAGACCATTTTATTTCGAATCCCAGAATATTACGGTCTGCTCCAAAGATTTCAAATGGTTTTGAGAATTTGCTGTATCTCTTAAACTGACTTTGGAAGTCAACAGTATTGGAACCTATCTTGCTGAAACCTGCCTCATACGTAGTCGCTTATGTAAAATTTCCAAAATCTTGGTTTAGATATATATAGTGTTTGCCAATAATAGACATCTTTAGACAATGACAAAATGACAATCTTTGAGAAATATTGTTTCCACCTTCCTGCAAACATTGGTTGTCTTTGAGGATCGTCCGAATCAATGGATTTACGATCCCACCAAAACCATCATTCACTCATTTTTTATTACAAAGTATTTCATAAAACACAAAATCAGTCAATTGATATAAAATTTAGCACAAACGTAAAAAGGGGGTCACGGTGGACATTTCTAAGCAACGCATGGTCAACTGTTTCCACCAATCTATCTACTGGTTCTATCACAGCAACATTCATCACGAGACTTTAGCTACGCAGTTTTATTGCAACGATCCACCTTACAATTCCTTAATAATTCCTTTGTTTTTCAGATCTCGGAGGTCATCGGGAGCAGCGACTGCAGGTGCTTCTCAAAGCAGGAACTTGACTCCCGGTGGTGAGTACATATTTTTATTTTTTGTTTAATACAACACTGGAAAACTTCTTGAGTAGATATCTTCATCTGCTTCATCAACCTCTTTCAAACACCCATATCAGATTAAGTGAATTTCAACTGAACAGTTGTGGATTTGTTACAGCTCCATGATATATAATGTCTAGTTTTTTAATATCAACCTCTGTTTAATCATGTATAGTGTTACCAGTAAAGTACGCATCATATGGGAACGCGTATTATAACCGATTTTTGAAAAATTAGACCTAGCCAATAGTATTTGCTTAAAAAACTACACTTACAGAAATTTTATCCTTTTTTAATTTTCAGCCTTCTATAAAAATTTTAATGCAACGCATATTTAGCTTAACAAACAAATCTCCGTAAAAATATTTTCTTATTGTCATCATCTAATTATATTTTTGTGATTAAACATTGTTTTTACTATTTTCCTTATCCAGAAACAAAATACCTTATTAAAAATCTATTAAGCATGATGCAAAATTGATCTACTAAAGTTTCGAGGTTTTATTTAAAATTTATTGCTTTGATTTAGATTTCCTGTAAATAAATACACATATTGAATTTAGAAGAAATTGGGTACATTCTACCAATAACCGGCAGTCTTTTAATAGCGTTTCGTACTGTTCTAGGATTCGCTTGTTGTCTTTGTAGGCTAGGAAATATAGAGTTAGACGCGACTATTTGTTTTGGCAAGCAGAATTTATCACTATAGATGCTGAATATTATGTACAATAACATATTAGTTTCCACAGTCATAAAAATGGGGGGAATATTGTTTACAGGGTGGATAATTGTATAATTTTTACGTAAATTCACGTTTTTCGCTTATAACTTTTTCCGTTCATTTCCACGAAAAAACAGTAAAGTACACCGTAAACAATCTTCCCCTCATTTTTATGACTGTGAAAACTAATATGTTTATTGTACATAATATTTAGCATCTATCACTATAGATATCAATTTATCACTATAAATTCAGCTTGCCGAATCAAAAAGTCGCGAAATGGTAATTTCCCAGCTTATTTTCCTGGCCTATTTGGCGGTCAAGATACGTATTCGAACTACAAATCATATTTAGTACATTCGCACTATCCATAAAATGATACCATATCCGCTTGTTATTGAATAATACTTGTTGATGTAAAACAACGTAATCTAAAGTTGAGGAGGGCAAGCAAGACAAGTCCGTGAATGCGCCGAACAATTAACCACCCTGAACTTGATCTAGTTACTGCATTGTAAACAAATAATCAATTGATCAATTTTTAAAATAAATTTGCAAAGCATGAAAAGCTGTCTCATTAACATTGCTCTTTATGAGATATGCGAAGGAATAGTTTGTTTTATTGAAAATTCGATTTTTTTTTTACATTCGTTAAACAATGGAATATTTAGGTATTACAACAGCGGATCTAAAAATATAAACATCTGGAAACAAATTAGATATTTACAATCGCAATTCAGTGTTTACCCCCTTATTGTGTTTATTTACACTTGCCTCATTCTCGATCCGGTTTCAAGAAGTTCCTCGTTCTGCTGTGATAACCTTATTATTGCTTCTATCCAACAGTAACTTTGTTTCTGGTATAAGTCATGTTGGTTATCTGTATAAACATTTTTTATAAATAACTACAGTCACATTTATATCATAAGTTTTTGGATTCCTGTCTTTTCTTTCAATATTTCCTATTTTAAACGATCTTGACTGATGTCCGAAAAGCTCTGATTGCATAATTTATTTTTCTTCTAGATTCTCATAGAGTCATCGAAACACTAAATGTTTAAAATTGATTGTCAAGGGCGTATAGTTTTATAATAATAATGTATAATTAAGTCCACGTTTTGAATGAATGCTTATTGACGCACTTAGCGATATTAAATCGTTAATATTTGTTTTGTAAAATTTTTTATATTTTAAAAAATTATTTTGTTCAAGATAAACTACGTCTTTTTTTAATTGACCCATTAATGTATACAGGGATGGCCAGAAGTACGGAATAAAATTCATATCTTGTGAATGAGTAAATTTCTTTAAAACGCCGACACGTTAACTGATTTTGATTTTTTCCCATCTTTCGGTTATATAATAATTAATTTTTCTTCAACTCCCTGACCCCCAGCTACCCCTACTTTTTTTTCAAATGGAAACATAAGGCATAAGGGGGCTCGTTGAAAAGCTTATAGAAAACTGATTCCGGTCATACCAAATAAACAAGTTTTATTTAACTGCAAATTTAACGGGTTAAAAAAAGGGGCGGGTTTAAAAAATACTACATTAAAGTATAAGTCTCGAGGATCATTTTGCGCTTTTAAACGTTCCGAAAACTTTGGTAGGAGCTGAGATGAATTTTTAAAGTTGGCAACTTTTAGCCATTTTTCGACATTAAATCGCCCCTAGCTCGAAAAGGAAGCGTTTTACGAAAAAATTTCAAGAGACAAAAAGTGTTTATTTTTGCCCAATTTACCTTAAAAAATTGTTTCCGGTGCCGTTTTTTTCAATATTTTTATTTTGCAACTTTTTTGTTAATAACAAATTACCTGCTACTCGGACACAAAAATGTTACTTAGGTTTTATTGTTTGCAATAACTCAATGCATCGATTACAAAAGGTTTCATCCTGGCCCCTCCTCGTGGTCGATGACCTTGATTTTCTAAGCATCTTTTTAGGGGTGGACCGTTCGTCTATTAGGACAATCGTACTATGTTCTATAATGCTTTATTTATTTATTGATTTTTCGAAATAAACTTAAAAATGTAAAAGTCAATTTGAACAAGGTGCCAGAATAAAACTATTTAAAAAAGGGGGTCGTGATTTTAATCAGAATGTTCTTCAAAACTAGATTATAACAATTTATAATTATTTGTAAGGAGTAGAGTAATAAGCAGTAAATATTAGTTAGATCTACTAATTGCAACCGCGAAGTCTATGTACGAGTATGTTTAGAGATCATTGCACTTAATATATGTATTACTCATAAATATTTATATTTTAAATACGTAGGATATTAGAAAAGTAATATTCTTAGTTCTATTGAGAGCAAAAGGAAATATATGTATATATCATAAAAAGTTTCAAATTGATTTTAAAATTGCATTTTCTAATCAAAGTAGAGAAATACGTGTATGTAAACTTTGTTTTTAATAATCACTTATTTAAAATTCATTTTTTTTTGTTAACGCCATTTTAATTAACTGTTATTTGACTCCATTTGATGTTTTTCGAAAAATTATCTCTGCGTTTTATTTTATATTTTTACAAATTTCTAGCTTTCAACCTTGATTCTTAGTTTAGCTATCTTTAAAAAAAATAGTAATGAAAACCGCACAGTATGTAATGCAAAACATATTTCCAAAAAGGTACTCTAATAATTTTTTATACGGGGTATAAAATTGTGTAAAAAGCATCTCGAATTAACAGAGAAATATTTTGTTCTTAAACAAGAAAGTAACTGAATCTCCTCTATGCAGAAGAAAAGGAAAGCAATATCTAGTGCAACCTTTTGACATTTTGACCCACACTATTTGATAATGCTTTTAAAATATGACAATTGGTTGATCAAAACAGTAATGTTTGTATAAAATGCAGAAGAATTATCGAGAACATTGAAATTTGTATAAATATGTAGGCATACTTTGTTGGAAACAACGAAAATCTGAAACTGAAAATGAAATTTAAAATAAAAAATTTTTTAGAAGGAAATATGTTTGCATCGTTGAGCAAACACTATAATAGTCCGGGACGCAGCGACAGAAATTTTGCACCAATTCCTACAAAGCTGATTTTTTTCTCATTTTGTTGTTTTGATATCGCAAGTAAACGGAACGGCAGTCTACCGCGCCAATGTGGGGGCAAACATTACAATGTTTGAAACATGTAAATAAATAATATGTAAATGTCTTATACCTACAAGTGTGAAACTTTTTAGAGTGGTCATATGGTGTTGAAAAATTAACTTTTTTGATTTATTCCTACAAGGCTGAATTTTTTTTCTCAAATACTTTTGTTTATAAGAGAACCAAAGAAAACAATCTACCGATCATCTAAGGGTGCAAAGCATTGATAGACGCAATGGAATGCACGATCTCCCGAGGGCAGTCGCTGCGCCAATCCGCTGTTAATCGCTCTGAATAATTAATATTAATTAGTCATGTCGGGATTAAGTTAAAATCTACAAAGCTGCTTTTTTGTCTATAAGTAGTTTCCGATAATTATCGTCAAATAAATGTTTTCTACCTTCGATACAAATTGGCTAAAGTTTCGGTAGACGTGATTAAAATTTTTGCGCGCGAGGTTGTTTACAATTCCTAATTTAAATAATTATAATTTTTTGAGCTTGCACCATTATTAAAACGTACGATATTAGTAATAACGAGCGAGCGCTGGCGATCGAGATTTTTGCTACTAATATTAGTGAACGTTGAAAATACATTTTTTTCAGATAACTGACCTTTTTCTTTTTAACGTTGGATAATTAAATGTATTTCTCTTTCACTTATAATTTATATCCACGACGCTTATCAAAGCCACACTGGTGAGCAGCTTTGAGCCGGCGAAGCAAGAAGAGCGCCAGAAGAAAGGGCCCTAGCCAGCGGGGCCCAGCCAGGACAAAAGGAGGTCCCACAAAGTGCCTACACCTGCCGCATTTGCGGTCGGGGTAGACCATGGATGGGGCCCACCTCCGAAGGCTGTCCAAGCCTACACGAGATGAGGCAGGATAAAGAGGGATAATCCCCCTCGATCCCAAATCATTGAGGCCAATTTGTAGCCATGGAATAACGGTGGTGAGCAGCTAGCACCAGGGTTGTTGACTTTGGATTAGCAGTACATACTAATTTATAAAATTACAATAAAATTGGAAAAAAGTTGAAAGTGGAGTTAACTTGAAGTGTTCCGAAGATACTACAAAGTACTAAGAAAAAACAAATAGATAACATTCTGCCTTTTTGTTTGCCAATTTAGTACAATTCACTAATGGTAG